TCTATGTTTGGGGTTTAGGGTTTAGGATTTAGGGTTTAGGGATCCAGCCCTCCGCTTCCATTTTGTATTTGGGGTTCCTTAGAAGACTCTATAGGGGTTCTGGGTTCCTTTAGAGATTCATTTAACAAAGGATTTTAGAATAAGGGTTCGGAAAATTATTTTTGCCCAAGCAGCAACAGCTTCTGTCTGGCCAGCCCTTGATTTCTTCTTGGCGTTCTTCTGGTTGGCTCTTTAGACTTTAACTTTTTGGGTTTCTATATGAACTGTAATATGTGGGCTAAAAGTTTAACTTTTTGGAGGGGTTCAGAAGTAGGCCAAGTCTTGTTGGGAACGATTTCTTATTGAGTGCCTTCCGGGTGCCAGTATCCCCTTCTAGACCCTCCACAAATATAGGATGTATTCCCAAATCCAGATTAGTTTGTATCGCTTAGCACAACAATTACATTCCCAAGGAGGTGCAGAAGTTGGATTACGCTTGTACGTACTACGAATAGTACCAAGCCCCAAATCCTCAACTTTAAACCCCACATCCTGAGCCCACATCCTACAACCCAACAGCCCTAGAGTCCTATAGTCCTGCCCCAGATGGTGCCCGCGGACAGGTCCAACGCAGCCTGGCGGACATGGAGGCACCCTGTTGTTGCCTCCCCGCCGGTTTAGGCTTTATAAACTTAGATAGCCAATGGAAGAACCTTAATCTTTTTGCCCCTTTTATACTATGTCTATCCTAGAAAGTTTGATATTTTCTTGGGCCCGGTCATTGAAGAGGAGAGATCTAGCACCTCTACATGCAATGGACGTGTGGTCGGGTTTGGACGACGGCAGCTCAAGTCCACTGCAGCTCCAAGCCTTACATCATCTTAGGTCAGACCCCTAGTGGCCCAAAAAATGGATTTGTGCATCCACGGGAAGCTCCCAAATTTCTAAGTCCCCTAGCACGGTCTTTCGGCCCAAAAGAACATGAGTGGGTCAAGCCTTAGGGTGAATGTGTGCCCGTGATCATAGAGTCTAGGTCATCGGCCGAAGGTTCAGGGTTCAGGGTTCAGGTTTTGGGGTGTACCTAAAACCTTAAACTTGAAACCGAGCCTCAGCCGACAACGCTCAGTTGAGGATCCTTTATGAAGTATCCCTGTTGACTGGGAATACTGCTCAATCTGAAACCCACGTTATAGCCCCGCCTACTTATGGCCTACAAGCTTTTGGGGTTTGTGATGTAGGGTCTTGCGAGGTCCATGTGCTGTTAGCGGCCGATGGCCTCTTTATCATCGAGGCGCCCTTCTTGCTGCCAGGTTAAAGGTGTCATTATTATATCCATATACATATATATATATATGTATATACATATATATGTGTGTATGTAGATGTTATGTATGCATGCATGCATTCAGGTATGGCTGTAAGTATGTATGTATGTATGTATGTATGTATGTATGTATGTACGTATGTATGTCTGTGTGTGTGTATGTATGTATGTATGTATGTATGTATGTATGTATGTATGTATGTATGTATGTATGTATGTATGCGTGTATGTACGTTTATGCATGTATGTATGTACGTATGTTCTTATGTATTTATGGATGTATGTACGTACGTATGTATGTATGTATGTCTGTACGTCTCGATGTATGTATGTATGTATGTATGTATGTACGTATGTATGTAGGGTATGTATGTATGTAAGTGTGTATGTATGTACGTATGTATGCATGCATGCATGTATGTATGTATGTATGTATGTATGTATGTATGTATGTATGTACGTGCCGGTATATATGTGTGTGTATATATATATATATGTGTGTGTGTGTTATTTAAAGTACATTTGAGTAGCTACCGAATCCGCAATGCTTGAACTAGCCCGAGATCCTTGAAAACACAAGTCCGCAGGGCAGAGTCCACATACCCGATCTCAGAGGTGATGAGGGGTTTAGGGCTGTACGCATGTGCATCATGTGCACTAGAGCCACTAGGGTTTAAGGTTTAGGGTTTTCAGGGTATAATGACGAGGATGCCCTGCACTGAATCCAGATCCTAAATCCTGAACTTTAGGTACCTCTGCTGGTTCAAAGACGAGGGCTCGGTGGAGGACTTCCACAGCCGGGAATGAAACAGGTTCTGCCCCTGGCGTTGGGCTAGGGGACTTGTTCAGGAAGGTTCGGGGTTCAGCGTTTACGGGTTCATTTAGAGTTTATGAGTTTAAGGGTTTAGGGTAGGGATTAGGAGTTTGTTCACCGTTGTACGGTTGTAGTAGAGTTCACACAGGGGATTCAACGAGTTGCGGGGGGTCACCGTGAAAGAGGGTGTCACCGTGTCACCAAATTAGTATTGTTATAGACCCTTGCATTCGAAAATACGGGTATAACATCATTTGTTGTGATTTGCCTTGCCCTTCTTGGTTTATTACTAGTATTCTTCAGAACTGTGTGTAATGGTTTGTTAGGAGCAGCTTAATCATCAATAACGCCAATGATGCTCGTCATCATCATGCCCTAGTATTCACTGCATGTTACGCGCCTTTGATCCTAAAGGAACGCTGACTAATCCAAAACCGTAAGCCCGAAAGCCGAAACCCTAGTCGAGAAGATCTGGGGTTCGCCGATTAAGGTTTATGAGGGCGGGTTAAGACTAGGGTTCAGGGTTTCATGTTTGTAACTTTAGGGTGTAGGATTTGCGGCACGCGCCACCAACAAATGCAAGTACCATCCTATGGCCAAATACCTATTCATTGGGTGTTTTTGCGCACGAAGGGTGGCACTACTCTTCAACACCCGATTAAATTGAAACGCGGAAACCTCTGCGAGGCGGATGTACCCTAAACCCCTTGAACCCGTAAACCCTAAGCCCTTAACCCGAAACTGCTAAACCCTATAAACCCCAGAGCCTAAGACCGTAAACCCTTTAAGCCCTAAACCCTAAACCTCAAAGCCCTAAACCCCTAAACCCCTTAAGCCCTACACCGCAAACCCCTAAGCCCTACGCCACAAACGCTGCGAGGTCGATGCTTGGGCCATGGGTCGAACTCTCGATCCGCTGCCGGGAGACGTGGTTTTGGAGCCCCCGAGCCTTGAGGGTTCCTTTTAGGAGGCTTTTCCTTCGTCTATTTAGGGTTTAGGGTTTTAGGGTTTAGGGTTTTTTTCCTTCGTCTATTTAGGGTTTAGGGTTTAGGGTTTTAGGGTTTAGGGGTTTAGGGGTTTAGGGTTTAGGGTTTAGGTTTAGGGGTTTAGGGGTTTGGGTTTAGGGGTTGAGGGTTTAGGGGTTGAGGGTTTAGGGTTTAGGGGTTGAGGGTTTAGGGGTTAAGGGTTTACTTAGTTCTCCAATACCAAACCTTTAAACTTTCTGGGTGTCTTGTAGCTTAGTAGTAATCTGTAAGGGTTGAGTTTTTAGTTTCTGTGGCTTATTGGGGAAGTAAGTTTAAGGGTTCCTTCTAGGATGCCTGTATGGGTTATTGCTGATGTGAACCACCAGCAGGCTGAAAGAAAAACAAGTGGAATGACAACCCCTAAACCCTAAACCCTAAACCCAAAGCTCCCCTGTCTCAAACAACCCTGCCATGGCTCACAAAATAGGTGGAGATTTTACACGCTTAAGCGAACAAGAAAGGCCCTTGCTGCCTGGGTTTCACACCTACAACTATGGGACATGTGCTTGGTTCAAAAGCATGCTCAAGGCTCAAACTGTGC